ACGCTTTGTGCAAAATCATCTGCAGGAGACTCTCTCGTTTATTCCAGCTTATGGAGGAGACAAAGGAAATCTCTTCCATCAATTCATTTTTGGGTTGGCGCGCGGTTTATTCTAATTTCCATTCACATACACTCGCCCCAGTGTTGGGGATTCTTTTTTTGGCATGACGAGGGGCGGAGGAGCTCGAGATATTTTCAGTCTTCCCTCCTTGTTTCATCGAGAGACAATCAATCTATCATGATGGCGTTTTTCTACCCATTTATTGATTAATATGAATAGCTTTTACACCCGCCCGAAGCCTTATTTTCACCCCCTTATTATGTGCGTTAAGAATACAAACTTCATTTTCAACACTCCGCATTGCTTGGCTGACTGGGAAATAGGAAAACTTTAAATTAGTACTACAATATTTTATAACTTTTTTCTCTGTACGCCAGAACACTGTCTCGCCAAACAAGGTTTATTATACGTTTATTACATATAAAAAATCATCCATCCTTTCGGTAATATTTTCCCTAGGATTTCCATAGCCATTAAAAATTCGAGCAGTTGCCGGTCTTTCATATTTTATAGTCGACTAACTCATGAATTTGAGATGATACTCCGGAATGGGCGACGTTGGGAAGACGGCACGACGTAAGAAGTAATCTCGTCTCCAGGCCATTTTGCATGAGAAACGATAATTCGTGTGATTTATGAGCCTCGGAGAGAAGTCTAGTTTCTATTGCACGGTTTGTCCAAATAGTACTGAATTGAATTATGGTCTATTTGTGCAGTGAGCAAACAATGCTTTGCCGCACACACACAATATTTTCCACAGTAATTCCTTGTGGTGCAAAACAGATAAAGTGTGGAGAGTTTCGTACGTCCTTCTCGCCTCTTCGTCATATCTATTTGGCATGGATTTCGCCCCAGAGAGAAAGACGCGCAAATCTCCGTTGAGGAGGATGTGCGGTGTATTTTCTAAAATTAGACACTTATTGAATTAAATCCTACGAGAGTGCTAAACAACAAACTAGTGCAATCTTTTTCTGGCGCCCACCCACTTTTCTGTATACACTAGACAACATCTAATGCAAATACACGCACCAAGAGACCCCAATGGAAGGAGTCAAATTTGCATAAATATCATTATATTAACAAGATACACGCAATCTAAGCGCGCGCGTAAATGTTTTCTGCAGACATAAAAAAGCACACAAGGGAGAGCAAATATCTAGGACTATGAGCTTTTGGTGTGTAGAAGAAAGTGGAGGAAACAGAAATGACTTTGGGCTTTCCTGGGATGATAGCATCGAATTCAAGCGGAGGTCGTGAGACAGACATTGTAAATAGTGCTTATAGGGCATTTTTCTACACCAAATACAATTGTGAAAAAAAACATAGAAGAGAAAAGGAGGTTTTGCGTTGGTCCATCAGAAATTGGAATTCGAATTTGAAGGCGAGAAAAGGGGTTGAAGAGACGGCATTTTTAATTAACTCCCCGGGCAGATATTTATGTGAGGAAAATTACCAGTAAATTTCCCCTTTTGGGGAGTATCGAAGCTCACCATCTTCTCGCCCAGTTACCAACTGAAATTTTCCTTTCATTGTTTCTCTTCATCATCTCGAGTGGAACGATGGAAATCGTTAACTTTCCATTTCTATATAACAACGTTAGTTTATGGATTTTAACCCCAATGACCCTCTCAATGGAAGGCACGTAGTCTCCTTACACTATATTTCACTCAAGCCACCTTTCCATTCCACTTTGGGGGAGAAAACAGCAAAAGAATGGTCGCAATTTCTGCGTCAATATCATCTGCAGTGAATTGTTTTTAATCCACCAAGCATATTCCTCCGAAATAGTCCCATCAAATCTCATTCATCATCTCAAGTATCTCGAGTTTCTCGCGTAGACTTTCTGTTATTTCACTGGCGAGACGGAAAAAGACCGCAATATTCCAGAGTGTTTTACTGCTTGTGATAAGTTTTATCGATATCCGATTTTTTGTCCCGGAATTTCCCTCAAACTCCACGCAAATCGAATAAGGTGAAAGCAAAGATTGCGATGTGCGGAGATTTTGATAGTGGCGCTATTCTCACATCTAAAACCATTCTTAATGCTTGGCGCTGAAAATCTCCCTGATTTTATACCCAAAATCCTCAGCATTTTCGCTCATATCCTTTGCAAAATCTGCCAATATGCTTCTCAAAGGTCGTTTCCCGGCTTTTCCCGGCATATATTTTATCCCAAAAGCCAGATTTATGATGATCCCTCCTTAACCCATCTTTTAAAACCAAATTGGATGTTACCCAGTGAATCTATAGAAAATAATATCAATAGAATATGCACAAGAAATGACATGAAAATTGATAATATTCACAGTGTGTGGAAAAATTCAATCATATTTCAATACAGACTCAAAATGTCCAATTTTCCGTTGGTGCGAAATGATTTATCAAATTAACTGACGTTGGTTTGCGCCTTTTTGATTTTCGCCAAATTTATTGCATTCGCCGAACAGATTGTAATTCATCAGCATGAAATGGAATATAAATTGTATTGATTGTAATTAATTAAGTGAAACGAGAAAACTACTGTGTGAATTCACGTATTTCAGGCTTATCGATTCAACGGTGGCAGTAAATGCTGGATGTCTTGCTTATCTGTGGAGTGAAAGGATTTATTTTATTGTGAGAAATTTCCTCTCATAGGTAAACATCGTAGACGATATAGACAAAGACTTGCGGTTCAGCCAGGGAGGTTTTCGTGCCATGAATAATTCCCTTCATTAACTTTTTATTATCATCTCGTGTGTAAGTAGTGGGCTTACTGACTGACCCATTTAAGTGCTCAAGCAAACTCCGGCACGCCGCGCTGAGGCATGACGAAGGGAATAAAGTTCATGAGCTGGAAGAGAAATGTCATTGTGAATTGTAAATATAATTAGAGGGATGAAAGTCACGGGGAGCTTCACACAAGCAATTCGCCAAATCAATTGGATCGCCTCCGGGCGTATTTCTTTCCTTCGTTTCCTCCACATGAAGATGTTCGACGACGAAGGTCCAGAGCTTTCTCATCCCCATCGTCACATGGGCTACACAATATGTGACATTCGATTTGTTTTTTTCCCTCCCATCGCCGATGTCTGCAGGAATTTATGTTTTTTCATCCATAGGCCCGTCCCTTGAGCACGTGAATTTCCACTTGATTGATCCGCTTGGGGAGTTCTCCCAACCCTCAATCGATATTCCATATACACACTGCGACATTGGGAAGTATAAAACTCTGCGTGCAATACAGAAGGTGTCGGAGCGATTAATGATTAAGGGATTTCCACGGGAGTCAAAGAGGCTGGGCGAGAAAGGTGAGCTCAACTCTCACAAAAGCCCAGGGAAAAGGTGAAACCAGTGATAAGGGATGAAATGGTGTGTTGTCAGGTCGAGTGTAGAATTACTCTGATAAAGAAGGTAAAAATTAAATTTCACCAAGAACTGTCAGGAGAGATTCCTGTAATCTTCTGGATTATTGTACAATTTGAAAGCACCCAGACACAATGGCTTTGCAGATAAACAATTTATTTCCCTAACACTGTCTTAAATTTTTCCCAGCGCAAAATATCCATTTCACTCACGTTCCAAAAAGGAGTATTTTCCTACCTGTTGAATTGCTATGATAGAAATAATCTCATACATCCACGGATCTTAGAAATTCCATCCATTTCTTCACAGCGCGACGACGACGAGAAAAGCTCCAAACGTGCTAATTGAAAACTTTCTCCTTGAGAACTTCCTGCATAATTAATCAATCACTCTGGGAGCTAAAAAGACAAACTCAAAGAGAGTTTCTAATGGATTTTTCCTAAGATATTGCGTTATCGTGAATTTTAAGCGACATTCTTACTTACCGAACTGCGTGAATTTTGTGCGAAAATCTTGACCAATGAGACTTTTCTGGCGGTGTCAATGGCCCCTTGGCGAATTAAATTCACCATCCACCACTCGAAGGTGACGAAGCATTCCCACTTCTTTCCCACAGTAAAAGTGTGACCCTTAAATTTTCAAGTGACCTCGGATATTTCACGATATGTTTAATATTTAATTTAGCAAGAATAAAGATGTTTCCCATATTCGCGGAACAAATCAAATCACTAATGTGCTATTCATCCATGGGGAAATGCTTCTTGTCTCTCTTCTCACCATCAACTTTGTCTGGGATTTGAGGGACGTCGTGAAGGTGATTTAGATGTGAATCTTTTTGTTCGAATTTCTCAACTTCTCTTCCTTCATTTCTTGCCATGATAAAGTTAGTCATTGCTCTCGGATGATGCAGAAAGAGAGAGATTGACAAGACTTTGGCTGTGGCAGTGAAAGAAATCCGAGATTTATTCAATTTCACGGGAAATTTAAACTTTCCTTTTGCACAAAATCACTCCACACAATTCTTCCAACATTATTTCAACTTGTGTTGCTGAGGCCGATGTTATTTCCATTATTATTTTCCATGCAAATAAACAATTTCGCCGGTGGACGGAGGAGAAAAAGAAACAACGAGGTTGTAAGGGTATTTTTGGACGTGAATTTTTCTCAAATAATAAATATCTCGATGGGGTGGAGGAAAAGCCTTTGCTTAATTTTGCGTAATCGTCGAAATATTTTGGGTGTGACAGCTATTATTTCCCCATAATAAATAAATTTCGATGTCATTTGATTATTTATGTGCTTCAAAGTAAATTGATTCTGTGCATATTGCGTATCATTTGGGAATAAATTGTTTGCACATATATAGAGATGATTATGCAATAAACTGTTTTGGCAATATTGTTTGCTCTCGATTCAATTGCAAATTTACACGTGAAATTATCTTCGGGACAGTCGCAAGAGACTCTCTAAAGCACAAATTGCAGTGACAGAAAATTAATTAAAATGCCAGCTTAGAAAAAACATACAAAATCAAAATACTTTTTATTCCATAATCTATTTTTTTCAGCATATTTCACACGACATTTCTTTTCCACTTCATTTTGCAACTTTTTTAATTTTCTATCGACACATTTTTTACAATTTTTTTCTCATATTTTCTTGATAAGCACTCTTCAAAGTTTTACATTCAGTTTATCATTAAATTAAAGCGTAATTTATGTACACGAATATCTTCCTGTTTCACATTGTATTAAGACGCAATAAATATCTTCTAAATACGTAGTAACATTAAATTCGTTTCCTTTTAATTTCTGCTCATCACAAGAGGCATTTCAGCTGTCTTGAATGTCTGCAGAGGAGTTTTAGAGTCTTCAAATTGATGATTTTTTTTGCCTCTTGTGATTGGATTATTTCTAACATCCATGATGGTATATTTATTATACTTTTGTAGTTACAATTTACTCTGAACATTCATGAACTCAACAGTTTGATATTTTCTTAGGAAAGAAAATTATTGAAACTCAAAATTTCTCTCCCTTGAACAAAAGTCAGAGAAAAATATATCACAAATATATATATTTTTCAGTATTTTCACGAGTTGCCTCACAATTTCCATTTCAGAATGATGACTACAAACCTCTTGAGAATGGTCAATAATTTCCTAACTATTTTCATTCATAAAAGTTCTAAATATCTTCTAAATACACGCAATAAAATTCAGTATCTTTTTCTCAACACTTCTTTTCTCCCACCCCTAAATCTATGGCACTTTGGAGGTTTGTTTGTGTTTTTTTTCCTAAGAATTGTCCCCGCGTTTTAAGTTGAAAGAGCATTTTCTTCTATTCATTCTGCGGTAGAGCCGCAAAGTGCGTCCTTCTCTTGACTCGATGGACGACATTTCCACTACAGATGATCATCCCTTGGCGACGGTGGCAATGGATTTGTGTTGCTGGTGAATGTCACTTTGTGGCTGCCTCCATTGGCCGTTGTGCTGGTGGAGGGATTCATGTTGTCGGCGATTGTCTCGTGGTGAATGAGTGACTCTTTGGCGTCCTCTTGGTGAGTGACCGCTTGTGTTCTTGTCACCAATTCGAGACGCTCATTGTGATTATCATCGTCCACGGAGCTGCCGTTACCTGCGCTCTTATTCAACTCTGTTAGTCAGACCTTCTCCTCACCAGGAACTTGTGGAGCACATCGCACAAACTGCAAGCCGAGCGGCTACATTGAAATTAACCAAATCCACCTTACGTGATGGTCGAATCTAATATCTACAACACTGTGAATTCCTCTAGAGAAGTCTCTCTTGGTGACCTTTCACATCGTACATTCCTCTACTTTATATCAATGCTTTCCATCTTCTCTCTATCTAGCCAATTGTATCTCGTTTCAAAGAAGTATAAATGATTTCGTGTAGAGAAGAGACTTGCAATAAGCATGCATTCAAATTAATAAATAATATATACTTAAAGAGAAAAATCCGACTGAAATGAAATGAAAAAAATTAACACATCTTAATCGATTCCTTTTGATTTGAAGAAAAAAGTCTAAACATTTGTGTGACTGTCTTGTAATTTTGTGTGTTAATTCAAATCTCTTCTCTAGCATAAAACCACGAGAGATTCCACAATACAAGTTCGGCAAAATGCTCTCTTACGCAGTAATACAAATAGCAATTCAGTATACAATATATTTTGCAAGGATTGTACACAATCACATGATGTCAAATTGGACATTGCAGAGAAAATTGTCATGCATGTTCTTTCTCTAAAGTGCAATAATACGTTCTGCAGAAAATTGAATATGCTGTACTTCCTTTTCGCAGAATGCAACTGAGTGATCTATTGACATGAAAGCTGGTATTTACTCATGGACTCTCGTCATCATCGTGGTATTTACTCATGGAATCCCTTTCTTTGTGGTGCCACAACACCGCAATCCAAGAAAGCGTCACATGTGTGTGATATTACGGATGGAAGGGTTGAAGGAACAAAGTCGAGAACACAGAGCAGAGAGAAGAAATTTCAAAGTGAATTGTACGAAAATTCTCCTTCAACAAGTCTAATATTGTGCTTTGTGAATGTTGGCTTATATAAATTTTCTTTCGTTGTTCGGGGATCTTGAACTTGGCTGAATTTAATTCTATATTCCAAGGCATTAATTAAACAACTTTACTTACCGAAACTTGGGTCGCCGTGTATGAATTTGCCCGTGGCCGAAAAAACAGTGTTCGCCATTTTCGCTTGACCTGAGCCATCACTTCGCCATTGAAGAAGCAGAACAGCGAGGCGACGCACAAACCCTATATATACACATATAGAATGTTGAGGGTGGCGAGAGAAAAAATAACCTTTATCAATTTATAAGGATCATCATGTTTTGAGGTGCTTTAGCGCAAAAATTCAAGATGCTCCTGAATAATTGCACAGCATTTAAAATGTTAAGCCTTTCAGTGGGGGTGATTAAATATTTTACAGGGCCGCCGGCGGGGGGAAGAGAAAACACTTTAATAAAGAGCTATACCTGAAATGAGGCCGTAAAAGCTGATACAGTCTCGTAAACGCGCTCCCACGGATGTCCCGGCGCCGGACGAAAGGGTGTCAAGATGTATTGCAGACCCAGAAGAGGAACGAGAAGGAGGGTGGCCCTGAATGAGCGATTTTACTAATTAATCAAAGGAAAACTTGGGATGATTCTGCAGCGATGGGCAAAGAGTGCTGACCTGAATGCCTGCAGCACGGTCCTGGAAGGTCCTCCGCCTTGTGGCCCGGCCGGCGCTTTGAGCTTCAGCAGCAGCACTCGCACAATGTTGCAGAGGAACAGGAGATTAAGTAGCATCGATATGACCACAGGTGCAACAAGTATGTTCGTGTACGACGTCTCATTGGCCCAACACCTGCCATTCAGCGCCGCACGATGAAGTGGGATTAAGAAATAAGTGAAATTAGTGTAGTTGCAACTTTGCTGATGGCTCACTTCATGGGCTATCGGATTAGTGAGGGATAAATTCAATATTACAGAGACAAATGCGCTGTTCTGCAGCTCATGGAGTTCATGAGTTGTGCATTACGGGGTGAATTGTGGGGGGAAATTCACGGAGAAAAATTTCCTACACTGATGTCTAGGCATTTCAAATGTGTAGATTTCACACATTCGCATGTGTGGATTGAATAGGTTTATATGACAATCGGAAATGTCTAATAGAACATCAGAATACTCAGAAGGAAATATGAAGGATCAACAAATATCTACACAAAAATGTTGTAATGAAATATGAAAATGTGCAGAATTTTGCACATTTTCAAAATGTGCAGAAATCTAGTAATTTTCAAGTGCATTTGAACTATGTAAAATTGAGTTCTGCTACACATTAAAAATGTGGTAATATCTGTACATTTGATATGTCTGAGTCCAGACATTTCAAATGAGTAGATCTCCGGAATTATAAATTCTTCTCAGTGATGAATGAGAAACAAAGTGTGGCGGAGGAACTCACTGCACTGTGTCTGTTTCATCTCCGTGTAATCCTCTTAAAAGTCCATACTGCACTATGACAATGGCAGGAGCGCCCCATCCCAGCCAAATGAGCCACTTCACGAGCTTCTTCTCCGACACGAACGCCGCCACGAGGACTGTGTGAAGGTAGAAGCCCTCGCAGAGCATCCAGGCGTAATTTGTGAGGAGAAAGTAGTGGAGCACCAGGTGGAGCACGACACAGCCAGCCTATATGAATGAATAATATTTTCACTCTCTGCTCTGGCAATGGCGAATTACAGAATGTGCGTTCTCGCATTTACATACATCCATATATTACGTGAATTTTTGTTGAATTTTTATCATAAAATGAAGGAAAATACCGCCAGGCGCGTGTAAACACACACTCTCCTGGCGCACACAGGATAACTCTTACAGCAGATTAGAATTTTAAAATATGCTCTTTATAGTTAATATCGTCTGTTCTCTATCCCTAAATCAGGCTAATAAAATTCAGAAAGACGGTGCACGAGCGGATATTCTGCCAAGACAGCGAGAAAAAGGCTGTCTTCCTCGCCAGAGGTGCCAAAGGAAAAGCACATGCTCAACAAATATTCCCACATATACAGCATGCAAAAAGGGAAAACGTGACGTGAAGATGGTGAATATGACTCACTTCATTTTGCTCAAGAACTTCTGGTGATCCTAAGACGACTCGATACCAGAGCAGCCACAGGGAATTGTTGGCGGCGAAGGATGAAAACAGATTCATATGTAATGTAATTCTGGAACACTTGAGGGACCTGTTGAATAAATTTTAGCATTCACAGAGTTGTGAGAAAAGCTGTTTGACTGAGTACACACCCTCGATGAGGGGATGATATAAAAGGAGAAATAGAACACATCCCTTTGACAATAAAACAGACTATATATCTGACGAATTGGAGTGGTGGGAAAATGGATAAAAATATGATCTCATTAATATTTATTAACCCACATCGTCACGATGAAAATGGAATTATTTTACGATTATAATCTGGCTCTTTGGATTATAATGTGAAATGGTTATATGAAGTCGTATAATATTTCATTCATGATGCGGAAATTCTCAGTTTTCGTGATATACGTGCTCAGAAATTCTTTTACGTATACATATAATTCCTCCTCTCACATTATACATAATAAATAAAATGACGAAAAAGTGAGTAAAGTGAAAGGGCCAGTTAGGAATATCCGGTGTTTCATTATAATAAATTCTCGTGATAATGCAGCAAATTCGCCCGGATACGAAACACTTCAAGAATCGCTTTTGTGTCCCTTTTGGTTGGTGTGAATTGATTTCTTTTGATAAAAAGCACAACGTGGGAATATTTGCATTCACCTTGAAAGGCGACAGAAAAGCTTTTCAAGAAGTCTCACTGTGCTTTTGACACTGCTAATGTGCATATTTATCATTTCTCTGTGTGATTTCCATACACAAAAAAAAGAATGCAAATTCCACTTATCATCAATGCTGAGGGAAACTGTTGTTGCCTTTGTTAACGATCTGAGGTAATTACTGTGACCTCATGAGATTATTAATGGGATCCAATTGCGTGACAAGGATTGATCCTGTAAAATAAGTCCCCACAAGAACTCTGAGCAATCACAGTCTGTAACACCTAATATGAATTACACTCAAGTATACATAGCTGCAATGCCATCGGGTTATTAATCACTTCCACGTGTCACCAGATGAAGCATTACATCCCAAGGGAAGACGAGTGACGCTCAGATTCCATATTTGTTACAAATAACACCGTTGACGCCACTGCAATTGATTCACGGGCGAAAATGCTCGCTACACACCTCACATTCTCTATGCACATTTCCATATTGTGAGATGGAGTCGCCGGGATGTCGGAAGTATACATATCACGGCTATAGTAAATTGAGATGTTCACATTTCACAGCAAATTCACACTGTGAATTGAGCATTGTGACATCAATAGTGTCCATTGGCATGCAAAAATGGGGAAAAAGTCACTTCTTTTTTGCAAATAATATCATCCACACATTGAATAACATTCCATTTCAACGACTTAATCGAAAAATGTGAAAAGTCAGAGTTGAAATTTAGCTTAATCCTCAATAATCCTTACAATCGTTTATTAGAATTCTAATATTGCTCTGAAATAATAATTTTCTGACTATTTTAATTGATTTTAATTGAAAAATTTTAAAATATTTCTTTCCAAAATTGTTTCTTAATAGTCTTTTAATAGAGTGGAAAATTCCTAAAGCGTAGAATTAATTTGAGTTTATCAAAGAACTGTTTTCATGCGTTTGATTGCAATTTGAAGCAATTTTCGCTGATAAAATGTACGGTGAAAATTGGACTTTTCATCGTTTTCAATTCACCCGTCGATTTGCAAAGCTCTCTTTTTATTCAAAAGCACATTAAACGACATCAAATGATTTTGTAGGTCAACTAAGTTATTCATACTTTTGCCACATGATAAGACAAACCAACTGTCTTCACCACCCTTCCCTTTCGCCCTCGGGGTGGAATTCCTATGCATATGTGGCATTGCATGAAAAATCAATTAACATCAATGTGCTCTGTGAATGAAGAGAGAATGATGTGGGACAAAAGAGTGGGAAGCCGTAGAAGAACGCTTCTGCGGAGTAACGACAACCTTTTGAATGACGCCTCGTGTGCTCTGTATTTATGCCATCAACAAGACTCAACGACCTATCGGATGTTTAAAGAACACACATGCATACATATGATGGAGGGACTGATTAAAAATCAATAGGGAGATACTCAGAATAGCACATTACAGATTTTCAGTGGGATGGTGAGTGAGTGAAAGTATTTACATTTCCCATATTTCACCCATGGAGAATGGCTTGATTTGATTGCAGAGAGCGAGTCAGAGCGAAAGTGAGTCACTTTCAATTCAACATTTTCATCATTAAACAGCTTTCTGTGTGTGTGTGTTGATGGAATTGGAGAAGCGAGTGCAGAAAGGGATGTGCCTATGTGGATTGCAGGGTAATCAACAAGAAAATGTTAGCACTTGACTCACCTAAAATAGCCTAAAATCACTAAAGACAGCAGGATGGCAATCAGGGATATCGAGTATCCTGTTTCATATATTAAATTGACTTGCTGCCTCCACTGAAAATCATAAGTGAGCAGAGAAGAACAAGTTTGTATTGGCTTCGATGGGAAACTAATTTACGGCAAAGTTTGGCAATTTATATCAAGGCACTTACTTCAAAGTCATCGTAATTAACGCACGTTGTGTAGTTGGACCACGTTTTATTTGTGAGAGGATGCTTATACCAAACTCCATCCGAACTGCATTCCTTGTGGGCATAACCTGCATTTCATTACAAAATATACAAAGTGCTGCTGTTGGACAATATAACTCAACACTGGCGCAACTATTTTGCCACATTCTTCAGCTGGTAATTTTCAATGGCAATTAGTTTACATATTTGTGGACATCAAACTTACGTGCTGGATCGAAACCTGTGACGAATTCTGGACATGGAGCAAATGCTGCGGTTCCTGCTGGCGTGTTTGGCCAACACAGCCATCCATCAAATGTTCCCGGACAATATGTGCCTGTTCAGCAAATGATATCAACACGGAATTATTGCAAAACACACCAAACACCGCCAATATTTGAAGAATTTCACAGTCACGGAGTGCAATTTGTTATTTAAAGCATCTCCACTGGCGGCAACTTATTGTGAATGATGTGCAAAATCTATTATGTTGCGCTGAAGTGCACGTGAAATACAAATAAGGATGAAAATGTAATTTGTTCCTGCATCCGGATATCCTCGAGCAGGAATGCTTGTGTGACATGCACATAAATAAATATATGGCAAAAGCAAAATTCTCGAGTATTCTCTAAATTTAATATCGCAGTGAAATGTAAACTATTTGAGTCAAATACAACAATAAAAATAGTTAAACAAGTATATAAACTCGTTGAAAATTGTCAGGTTTTGTGTGTATTGAATGCCCAAATGCGATTTATAGTGAATGGGAAAAACCTGTAGCGCCAAAGTTTCCAGCAAAGAGCTTTTTCTTATTGATTGCGGCGCATTTAGGATCTACATTGAATGAGCGCGGTTGGAAATGGGGCTGTTTTCTCCCACTTACACCCTCTGTCGCACTCTGTGGTTATTCTATGACACCTTCTCCACGCCCCCGAACGACAATTGCTATATATATTGAATTTAACACACATGAAAAACAACCCAAACGACAAATATACGAGGCAGACTGCGATGATGGCGTGAACCACCCTCTGATCCCGTCGCCTTCCTTGACTCTCAATCAAAATGAAAAGTGGCGGGTGAAGTGAGATGGAACAGTCTATGTATAGAACAGGAAGTCAACGGGGAATTCCCCAAACAATATATGTATTCGAAGGATTGAGATAATCGCTTGGGGCATTTATTGAAAGTTATTTATATTTCATATGATCCCACTGGGGATATGAAACATATATCTTCTATTTCTCCGTCCTTGCGAGACTCACCCCAAACGCCACAATGTCATGCTAGTGATAGAATTTAAGTGAAAATTAAGCTCACCGTCCTCCATCGTGCTGGTGGATTTGTTGAGCTCCTCCAGACACTCGAGGCGCTTCTGCACCAGCGGATGTTCAGTTGTGGTCGTGGTTGTGGAGCTGGAACTCATCATTTTGCCTCTTGTGCCCTCCTCAGCTGGTGGACTCTGTCCGCAGAGAAAAGCCTCTGTCCCTCACTGTGGACGATAATTCCGGGATGAAATGCATAAAAAGAGATGAAGAAGAATATAACTTTTCCCCGCACTAAAGCAAATATTTCGGCCCGATTGATTTCCTTTTATTACATTGGGAGGAGCAAAAATCACGTAACTCGCAGAGGACTTTATTATCCTCTTGGGGAAAATCAATGTGAATTAGCAGCAGAAAAATCCCCCACAATAACTCCTCTTTTGCCTCTGCCAAGGAGGAGATAACATGCCTGAAATCTGTGACACTTGAGGCACTTCTAAAGGTCATTATTGTGAGGTTATGAATTCTGTCTAACAACTTCTTCTTGAACTAATTTGAACCTAATTTGGTTAAAATTCTATAATAAAAACCTGTTTAAGAGCAAAACATAACCCCAAAAATGTCATTTGAGTATAGAAGAATGTCTTTTCGTTAGCAAAAAGCAAATTCAAGCTCACTATCCTGTGAAAACATTACAATATTCACTATATTTACTCATTTCAAGGTTTAAAATGGTCAAAATTAGTCCAAAATCGATTTTAAAGCTGAATTCATAACCTCACAATTTTTTCAGAACTTTCCTAAGCATTTTTCGAGGAGAAATCTAGACAATCGAGACTCTAATTTATCATAAACCCACTTAGGAACAGCAGAATCAGTTTTTACAATCTTTTATCTAAGCATTTGAAGAATTTAGGCTTCTTGAGACGGAAAAACCTCATTTAAATTGTGATAAGTCAGAAATTCGTGCAATAAACAGTTGAAGGAGTCTAAAAAGCAATGAAAAATGCATTTGAAGGCGTTCAGAAGAGGCTAAAGTATTAAATATTCAGCGCAGAAATTGTGGCGTGTACAGATTTCAGGCGTATTATCTCCCCCTTGCTGCGAGGGTGCATGAATTCTGCTTCAGCGGGTGAAAAGCCAAGAAATTGCAGCTCGGAGCCAAACAGAAATTCCGCTGTCTCTCTCCAAAATGCACCCCAAAGAGACATCCTCATAATGGCAATGTAAATATTTTAGGATGCACTCAGTGCGCATCACGTCTGGAGCTAATTCGTCATTGATGGGTTGACTTGCATGGAATTTGTCAAATAATAATGCTCCTTGGCAACCAATTTGACGCCGGGCACATAATTTCATTACGCGTCGTGTGCGTGGGATTCGCATGTGCGCGTGAGCGATTTAATTCGCGCGCTGACGAGCAAATTGTTGACAATTTCTACATTAACACACTGACCGCCGCGCGGCAGATCCACATTTTGATTACAGAAAGAGTCTCCAAGGAGTGCCACAGTGTCTGTCGTGGCCACAAACTTTATTGCCTCAATCTTCATCATATTTTACATGAACTGTAGACACATTATTCCCGTCCCGTGTCACTCCTTCAATCTTTACGACGGGGACAGCTGAAGGTTAATCACTGCTTACATTGAACATCACCAACATTTCGCATGGTTTTTCCGAGAATTTCCCTGCAGAGCAGCTCATCTTTCCACTTTAATCAAACTAATGACTCTCAGTGCTAATTCAGTGAGGTTGCAAACTTTTAAAAACATCAATTTCTGCTAGAACAATTTTGCATTCAAAGTGTTTTCCACTCTCAGCTACTGAAACGCCTCTTAACCTACTCATCAGTGATGAAACGGGGGAAAACTCAGTGAGAAATGTTTGTCACTTAACTCCTTGTCAGACAGAAAAAAGATATAATTTTTAAGGTCTCTCTCTCTCTTCCACAAAGTACAAGTTTTTCTCTCTTCTTGTTCGCTTCGGTAGAGGAGAAATTTGTAATTAGAAAACTTAATTATCAAGTTCAGAATTAAGCACAAATCGAGAAATCCAATTAAATTTAAACAAACCGACACAGTTTATTTATTTGTGGCTATTTCCCTCACCATTTAGTCTCCTTTCCACCATCTCAGCGCGAGAGATGGAAAAAGACTTTGGAAAAAAAACGAAGAGTGAATTTGCGCATCTCTTGGGATTCAAGTGTGGCGGCTGAAGTCAATATTGTGAGGAAATTGCAACACTCAATTATCTCGGTTTAGCCCCACTTAGCCCCAGTATTGTTGTTACTCGTGATACTTAATTAATTCCTGGAATCATCATGGGACACCACTCGAAGGGATCTTCCCCGAGGAAACTTCTCCGATGCAAGAATGCTTTCGTAAATGTGAAAATTCTCAAACTTCTTCCCAGACTTTGAAGAGTGACAAACTCTCCAATTGAAATCTGCTGTTGACACTCGAGTTTCACGGAGTAATTATATGTCCTGCAAAAGAATGTTGACCCAATCAAGTGCACAAAACTTCAGACCTTACAGCGTTATTTGATGAAAAGTCAAGTAATCTCCATGCAAATATGAAAACTAATTATGTGAATTGTCTCCATGAGTCCCCTTGGGAATTTATACAATATTGTGCTTCTGGAGTGTGATCTAAATTTAGCTTTCTCAAGAGACCCAAGGTAGTTTGCAAACTTCCCGTGAGATATTTCATCAAGAAAAGTCATAAGTTTCAGTTTAGGCATGAAGCAGAGCTCTTAGAATCAACACTTGGAGTTATTTTGACAACCCCAATTTAAACTAATTAAACAATATAAGATGTGTTTCACGGCAAAATAGTGTTGCTCTCGAAAGTTTTGGCAAATTGGCAGAAGAACACATTAAGTATTTATGTGTATATAGCGATATATTGAAATCAATTTGGCATGGAATTCCCCATAAAATTCCACCCCCAAAACATAATTTCAAGAGTGAAACTCTCAAGAGGAGTCGGTAAAATAGACAAACGGCAATGATCTTGTTTTCAGGTGAGATTGTAATTTGGTTTAATTTCAAGTGAGAACAACGAAAAGGCGTATCATATACATATTTATTAATGACAAATTAGTGCGTCAGTTGTTAGCAATTAAGAGTGCTCAATTCCCGACTATTCTGCACCACATTCGAGGTATCATTCTGAGCCTTGAATTATTCTATCGCCTGAGCACGTTGCCACCAATAAAAATTGTACTTAAGAGAGAATTAAGCGAGGCAGAAAAACAATTTGGGCCATTTTGAGTCCCGCCGATTTGGGCGCCCCACACAATTTCGGATGCTGAGAGTGGCAAAATGTATTGAATTAAGCTGTTTACTTTTTCGCCAACACTCTCGTACATCACAATTGTAAATATTGAGAGGGGCGAGAAGAGGTGTTTTGACTCACTATAAGGTCCATTGCCAAGACGGAGATCATCAAAAGGAAGTTTACGAGTGTCTATAATTTTTCCAGCGCTCATTTTTCACTTTTCCTCCACGCACACATGAGCGCATCGCGGAGTCTGTGTTCGTTGGGGATTTAAAATAGAACCCCATTCAGTACAACACGCCAAGGGGGAGATAATAAGCCCTAAATCAAAAATTGTGATGTTATGAATCCACTCAAGAAATCCTTCTTGGAATAATTTTAATCCTGTCAAACTTTGAATTATTAAGTTGAACTTGCCATTTTAAAGCACGAATCGTGGAAATAACTAAGAAAAGACACATTCTGCTAGACTAAAATGATATTTTTGAGGTTATGATTGACTTTCAAGCCTTTTTTTCAACAAATATGAACTTTTTTCGAACAAAAAAGCTCAAATCTGCTGAGAAAGAGAGAAAAATTCATTGCTTTAACACAAATGTGATGATCTTGAGGGTTTTTTTAATCAATCATATAACCTAAAAAAGCAACAAATCGATTTTTCTAGACACTAAACACTTTCGTGAAGTTTTACACCACTTCCAACCACAATATCTCCCCCTTGCAGCACACTTTCTCAAATACAGCACAAACAATATGGAGAGCATTGCAATAATTTCCCCGCATTAATTCTGTCTAATTTCGCATTCTTGCACTCCAGTTGGATTGATAAATTATCTCTCAGCAGAAAAATCCATTCTTTTTCGCTTGTGTGTTTATAAGATGAGCACAAACACGAGTGGCGAGCAAAAGTGGGTGAGAAAGAGAGAGAACTTAATTAATAGTTAAAGATGTTACACATTTTTAATAAAAAGGTGTATATTCCGCTGAAATGGTGTGGGATAAGAAAATAATTATCTGAGTGTATAACGAAGGAGATTTATGAGACTTCACCGCGCTATAAAACCCAATATAAAGCGGATCCATTGGCGTAAATATTTGCTGTTTTTTTAGTATCTCATGTGATAAGATTCAATTTTCACACATATACAATCTCCTCAACGGTGGTTTTCCACACAAAATTTCATTCTCTCTTTTCTCTTCACTTTTTAAGATTTTATCACTTCACCATCAAATTGAATGCATCGAATTTTCCACAACGTATAAATTTACCTTAAATGCATATAACAGAGCCATATATCTTGTTTTATATAAGGGTGTAAAATACGCTCTCGAAAGGAGGAGCAAAAGGATGCGCGTGTTGTGAAGAATGTATTTTCATGATGATTGATTGATCGCGGCGGTAATGATAATTTCTGATGCAATTATCAAGTCATAAAGTGTGGTTTTTATAAGAATTCACTCTTTTGCAGAATATCAACGACAATGTTTAGCAATAGTGTGTGTGTGTGTAAGAAGCAATCTATCGAAATTGAACCACTAACATAATTTAAAACATGCTCATAAATAACCGACATTTGGCAAATTAGCATGTCTATAAATTTTGTGTCTAAAATGAACTAAAGTGGCCGTTAATTATACATATTTCTATTTATATTTACATAGCAATTATGATCAAACAGAAGACACGACAGTGATAATTGCTGGCAAATTAGTCCATCACATTTCTCAGAGATTTTAAAGTGGTTTGTCTTTTAGCGTTAGTTTTTGCATAAAGCACGAAGTGAATCATATCGAAACAGTGTCGAAGATTAATATTGCTGATATGATGAATAGAGCAAGAATGGAAAACGCATGTTATTCCAATCCCACACGTGCAAATGGGAATAATTCTCTTAGGGCATATTCATTCGTTGCGAAAAATTTCAATGCTAATTCATATGCACTTCATATAGATTTTCTCTCTATAATTACCAGCACAGATTTCATTCAAATTCATCGTTATGCCATAGACTGAATGTGTGTTTTATGTAAATTCACATTAAAGCATTTCCTCTATCGATTTGTGAGGGAAATTTTAAATAGATAATAATCAAAATTGTGCAGACTAATTTTGCGCCGCACACACAAAGAAATCAATTATTGTCTTCTCAATTGCTTTGAGGTGTGAGATGGAAGAAATGCTCTGCGTGATGTTTGAGCAGAAATTGTCGCCACCACATAATCATTGATAAGTCAGCTTTTACGGCGTGTATTTTCTGGTGGAATATTTGTTGTGTCGTTGCCATTGTTGGTTGGGAACGACAACAATTCACACCTTGTGGAGAGAATCATAACACGCCGGGATGACGCGAGATAAGAAGTCCACAAAAAGTGATGATGAGGCCAAACATCAAACAAATTAAGTCTTGTGATTTCTTCTCCGTTCGCATTACAAAGTGTGAAATTACAGCAAAATTTCTCGTGAACAACTTTTCACTTCTTTTTTCCACCACATTCTTGTACTCATTACTGTTGCTTCCGGTCGGTGGTGAATTTCCTTTCTCAAGTAACGCGCCTCCTTTTTGTCGTCAATCGCCTCACTCAACGTGAGCTCTTGCTTTCGAAAGAGAAATATTTATAAAGTCTTTTAGCGATGTTTACATGCAAAGACATCTCTCTTGGGGCTTCGGGAAAGAGAAGTCTTCCAACCTTCAGTGTTTTTGTTCTTCACATCCCGCAGGATACATATTATATGCATTGTATCAACTAAAAGTATATAATATTTTCTCAAGTGAAATGGAACTTAAAGACAATGGATTTATTGTATGAAATTTATTCACTCTGTCGCGTCATTTAATATTCATGATGCAATTTCACTGCACTCCCTTCTTAATTCCGCATGCAAAATGCGCTCAAAATCTTATCTACTCATCATTCACGTAATGCAATACGAGAAATAAGAGCCACCAAGTCGTATTTTGCAGTCCATTTTTCATTATCATATTCTATTACTCAGCGCAACTTGCTATTGTACAGAATCACTCTTGAAGATGTATAGTTTCGACACTCTCTCCAGACAAATTTATCACCATTTTATACGAAAATAGTTGGGTCATCGCACAAACTCTAATAATGCACTTTAAATTGACTGACGTCTCTTGAAGAAGCCTCACTGAATTGGCGAAAATCACAAGGGGAAAATCAATCACGATTTCAGATCACAAACTTTATGATTATTCAATCATTTTTTGATTATTTTCTCCACATATCGCCGCCAGGGGGCAGCAGTTTAAACTGTTAAAGCATGTGGAAATTCCGATTGTATTTCTCTGTGGTCAGAAATCATGATTTCTACCCTTTTATTCTAAATTATTCAAATTTTTAATCAAATTTAGATTCCAAAATTCGGACCTTGATTTTCTCCTTGGAAAATCAGTAGAATTGTTTGAATATTGAAATTCCTCATTGAGAGGAGAAAGAAAAACATTTGAAAACTCTTGTAATTCAAGTCAATTTTCGTTTCTTATGGCTTTTTTTTTCTTGCGCGAAAAACTATTTATAGTTTCTGTTATGATTAATTTTCTTCTGTCTGAGGCTGTTGAGGTGAGTGGCAAACAAAGAGAAGTATAAATAGAAATAATATTTCTTTCGACATAATGTATTACCTAGCGATTAAAGCCTGCAATTGCGATGCTACTTGAATGCTTTGTGTGTTGGCCTTCTGATAAAGTGCCATCATTGCCATGATTACACTTCATGTTCATGAAGAAATGCGAGGATTTACCTAAAAGCTTTTCTCTGTGGGTGGAAGTTTTGAGATTATAGTGATGGCTCACAGAGCTTTCCACCAGCAGTTGCGGTGTAATTTGAAATGTTCTAAATATGAGATACTAATTATTCCCGGATATTATGCCATTAATAACAGCTTCAGAAACATGCAAAGAGCATTCTGCGCCATAAAGAGGACATTGATGCTATGAAATCATCCACTGGCATGAACTTCAATGCAAAGGTTGATCACCGACATACTTTTGCCATACATTATGTGCATGTGCATGAGCATGAGGGTATCATAAGTACGGAGTGTACTTTGCGCATCCGAATGACAATGAATGGCCAATGAACACTCCACAATCCTATGAAATGTATTGATAGTTCAATTGGACGGTCTTAAGTTCCTAATCTGAGCACAAATTGGAGTCAATTAAGGGCCAATGTGACGCGACTTTGCGTGGCACAACAGACACTCTGGACAATGGGGGGGCGAATGTGCGCCTCTTCGGTATCGATTAGTCCTGTGCAGACTGAAAGGCACAGCAGGTGTCGTTCGCGATGGTGCCTTTAATTCTACGGCGTATCCTCAACCTGTTGAATGTGGGACCTTCCCATCGGGCCAGTTGCCACGAGAGTAGCGAGTATAACTTTTAAATTAGTCCCACATTTTGCACCACGAGCGCTCGGTGGGGTTGAAAATTACACTTAAGAACATCGTAGGGTGGACGCTTAAATATCACCGGGCGTCAGGCGAGCGGATTAAGCTTTAATGGCTTCTTTAAAAATGGGTGAAACACTCAGCGCAAATTTTATCAACACAAATTCACTCCACTCGGGATGTTTCGTCAATAAATGAGCAGCGAAGACTAATAATCAATTCGGTCCATTGATACCGAAATGCGTTGCGAAATTACACATTTGGAATATGACACGATATTTAATTGGATGCTCTAATTGGGACGTAATGGGGATGAAGAAGGACCTTATTGTTTTCACTACCCCCGGAATCCATTACCCGCCTCTCGCACAGAGATATTGTCGAGTCTCTCTTGCAAAGTGCTGTTTCCGCTCGATGGGCGGAAATAAGGTGGTAATTTCCCTCATATATGCAAAATGAGAACTTGTATAATGGCATTTTTGTGATTTTCACTGACACTTCAGAGCCTCCAAAGGGTGGAGAGTGACAACATTCTCTCAAAAGATCATTAAGCATATTATGCTGAGTAAGTGGTTGACATTTTCCGGAACACTCCGTGACCACCGAGATAGGAAGACGAGACAAGAAAGGTCTCATGGTCTTGTGAAGTAATATTAAATTCACTTGGCACCACTATGAATAATTAAATAATTTTACAGTCCACAAGGGGATGTTATAAAATGGTGAAAATAACGACGCCACACTATTGAGTTTATTGTGGTTGACTTTATGTGGGCAGAAAATTTTACGGGATGAGTGAAAACACACCGCAAGATCAGTTATGCACCATCAGAGATTTTATTAAAAAAAAATTTCCTCAATGCATAAAATTATGATGGGAATAATTGGTTCATTTCCGAGCCGAAAATTGGGGATGTATTTTGTCACTGAGTATAATTTATTAATTTTGGCTTTTCACACTTCAGCGGATGTTCCCCGCGCAGGTGATGATTTATGCAATCATCATTATCAGTGACACAATATTACTTTACATATGGCTGATAGTCATGCAAAAGAGATGTTTTGAGCTCGAATCATTGCTGGCAAAAGAGGTTTCTCCGCTTTATTGGATGCATTTTTGACCTTTGGATGGCAAGAAGAGCTCCTGTTTGTGCCGAAGACACTCGAAATGCTACACAAAAAGCATGTTTAGTGACACTCAACGGCTGATAAGTGGATCACATTGTCTCGTTTGCGAATGGGCGTAAGTCAGCAACAATGGCGAAGCGTCTCAGGAGGGTAATTAGAGCTAATTTATGTTACAATAGATCAATTCACTAAGTAAAATCATCTGAAGGCCTAATGGGCAATGTTGATGCAATTATGCGGAAGAATTCCTATTAATTCCACACATGGAGCAATTTTTAGACACACTCGCCACTAATATGATCAACCCAATTCCTTTCCTTCTTCCCCAATATGTGATGTAACACGCAAATTTGAACGTGACTTAAATAATTTCTCATTGGTCTCAGCACGAAAGCGCTCTATTACAACCTTTTTTTTCAAGAGCGAATTTCTTCTCGTGTGCGTTGGCACGGGAAAAATCTTTTGCGCGCATTTTTCTCTTGATAAAGAGTCACGATATTAAGGCGGAACATTCTTTTTTTAATCTCTAAAATGAACGGCGCGAGGAGTGCTTTGCGTGTCTTGGACGGGACAAAGTGTCTCACCTGGATCTGTGCGATGGACGATGACGACTGGACTTAGTTTGGTGACTCTCTTCGGAGATGCTGATCGTCAAAAGTGCACCGGTTTCACCCACATGACGATTAAATTGGGTGGCTGAACTTGACACGAATGATCCCAATTTTTATGTGCTCACCAGGTGGATTATAGACACACCGAGAGTGTAATTTCAGTTAATTAACAGATTGCACACTTTCAAATTCAATTAACACCAATGCCAATACAATCGATCGCTTGAACTCTCTTGCATCCAATATATTGTGCCACGATTAACACTATCATATGGCTTTTCTTGCGCTTAAATGTCACCTCACTTGCGGCAGTGCCACTTTTATGACTTATCAATATTTTTTTCGCTTCTTATTTGTTTTGATTCGCACTTTACAAACTCCGTGGAAAAAAGGAGAACTGCAAAAACACAATTTTAAATGTCAATACTGGTGGTGTGTGATAATAATCTTGAAGAGGCTCTTCACCCAGTCAATGAAGAGGCCTTCTCATGCTTAAGGAATTCTTCTCCGGAGTGAGTAAATGGGAACACATGCACACGATTTAAGCCAGACGACGGTCGCAGAGTGACTGAGATATTGAGATTGCCAGAGCCAAATGGAATTCCCTCTGAGGCCAGAATTTATTCTGGTGTGCGAATCCGCGTCACAAAGTGAACTCACCAGTATCACAAACGCCCGCGTACTGATATCCACTGCCTGATGAAGTGAACTCCGAGACACTGGCAACGGAAAGTGCTTGCCGGAGTGGAAGCCGTTGAGCTTTTGAACTTCTCCTCGAAATCGGCGCGAAGAGAGTGGAAATGTGTGCCGCAAGCGGAGAGAATTCTTTTTCTCAAACATCACATTCACCCCCAATTCACTCTCCATTGAGAGCATACAAATGCACAAACGCGCCTGAGAGGCATTTCCCAGAGAGAGAAAATATACAGTCAATTAGGTGTGTGAGCGGGAGAGAGAGAGAGCGCGCGCTAAAAGCTCTCCCGAGAGCGAGAGAGAGAGAGAAGCATGGGAAAGTGCAACGCACAATTTTATTAGGCACTGATAAAAAGCTGTATTATGAAAAGCTCTTTTATGCTCCCATTTTATATTAAATTGAGGTTATTCATTTTAGAAATTTTCCTTCACACTGAGAATTTATCGCACGATGAAACACTTTCTCACTTAATTGTAGAAAACTTTCAGTGGCGTCGTCTTAATTTATGCCTCGAGATGGGAAAGAAATGTATGCATGAATATATCAAGCAGAGAGACATTAGCAGTTGGAATGGAAAATTAAAGAATCGACCTTCGCGGATATGAGAAAAAGAGAAATTAGCATTATTATTTTTCCATTTTCCACCTGAATTCACTGTAATGAAAGTGTGAAAAGTTTCCTTCTCCTCATGACGTCTTTTGCAAGCGGTGTACAATGAAAGAAATACTGATGATGATGTCAATGATTGGATATTATGCGTTTGTCTATGTGGGAATTTTGGGGAAACATTCTTTATATGGAGGGTAAAAGAGAGCTTTTGACGAAAGAAGTGCCCAAACAATAAAATGAATGCTTTTCTTATCGATTCTTACAACTGCGGTCAATGTAAGAAATTTAAATCGAATTCTCGAGACGAGAAAGGCGAGATGTTCTCAAATTTAGTATCCAATCGTGAGGAGAAATGATGTCTATTTGAATTGGCAGTGAAAACAGAAATAGATGGTGGATTTTCAGGACTTCAATAGGAAAATTTATTGCTCAAACTGGTGGTAAATTTAACTCTTGTTGTTCTCTGCTTGCCAAAAGATCTTTCTCTCTCTAAAAATATCTCCAACTCGCAAGTCTAGATAAGGTTTAGCGCTGGAAGATGAGATTTTTGCACGACTTTGTGAATTGGGAATTAATAAATTTTATTACCATTCGGCAAAAGAGAAAGACTGTCATGTGAATAAGCAATCATTGGAATTCATTAATCATAAAACTCTACGTGATATTCTGCAGAGATTTCCAACTTTTAGCACTCAATATGATTCGCTTAAGGAGAAATTGGGCAACTTTTCTCGTAATCCGATGTTATCCGTTGTTATTTCTTCACTGTTTGTAATTATCTCCTCTTCAGCGTTCTGTGTGGTCATTCAATTTTCCTCCACCCTCGGGCCAAGCGCCCGCCCTTGCTCGAGCCCTTATCCAATTTGTTTTATTGGAATATTATGAATACTTATAACACTGGCAATCATCTAAAAGATTATATGCTTGCCACTCTGTCCGAAAAATGGATAATGTGTGTGTGTGTTGCGGCTGTGGGAATTATGGCTGTGTGCAAATTGAAATTCCACATAGTACAGCTGATAGTGGATGTTTTTCCGAAGAGCATCCCTTTGAAGTTGATCCCAGTTTGGGTGAAATCTCTGGGATTAATTACATTTAACGCTTCAATTAGTAGCATTTGTAAATTATTTTAGGGGATTTGCCAGAGCAATTTGGTTCTATACATTTTCAGCCTTAAGGATCTGCGATGCGAAAATTTCCCGACACAACACAGCATTACATTTTTGTGGCCGCCGGGCTCTCAAATCAATCAATCACATTAGGGACCACATGAGAGCCTTTGCTAATGATTGATCTCTAAGTTATTGAGAAGTTTTCTCATTTCCAACCACGACACAATTTTCCAGAGACGCCCGACGCCTGTGGAGGCGGAAAAATCTCTTACCCAAGCTGACCACAATTCCAAATTGTGTGTATCACGATTCACGCACACACACACCCACACACTTTCGGACGCAGTTCAAGCAGAAATGATGAGGCAAGAAAACCCCAAATTTGCCATTGAAGAATTTTCGGTGGGGGTGGCAAAAAAGGGGGTAGATTAATTAATTTATTCCCGAGGTTAATAAATATCTTTTCTCTCTCTGACACTCATCGTCCCTTCACAAGGAATACACTCGGCGTCAAGGCACAGCCTCATTTTGAAAGGTTTCCCACAGCGAGAGATCCTCATTGTGTGTGTGTGTTTGAAAAAGGGAAAAATATGGGAAAATGCCTCCACCCACGCGCCACAAAACCCAGCCTATTGTAAATTAAATTCCTCTATCAAATATAATTTAATAAACACACGTTATCTGTTGCTTCCTAAATTCCACATCAAACTACATAATTTGTAGCTTTTCCGAATATTTAACTCCCGGATAAAGTTGCTCAGGTATTTTAGACTAATTAAACTTCCCCGCCTGGAAAGAGGATTCAGATGCGTGAATTCAATAGATTCCTGGATTTGTTTCTCTCACAGGGGAAAAAGAAACTACAGACATTTTCCCAGAAATTGGAGAAGTTGAAGCTAAGAATTTCCTGTTTATTATATACCTTCTCGAACGCCCACAAAAATTCTATAAACGAACAGGTGGGAAAATTTGCTTATTTCATTTTACAACTTTCACATCACCAGCAAGGAAAATTCGTGTACAAATGAAATAAGAATACCTGCTTTATCTTCCCTTTCGGCTTTTTCTTTGCACATTCCGAAAACTCCCCATGAATTTCTCTGTCGACCTTCAAAAGACTCCAAAAAAACCCCATCATGCAAAATGAACTCGACGAGCAGAAAAGCATACTTACAATATATATATATATATGGGGAAACGTCTCATGGTTTATATTTGGAGCCAAAAAAAAGTTTGTCCACGATTTTCAAGGCATCAGAAGTGAAAAAGTTAATCAGACTCGCAACTCATTTTTCTCCCTTTTGTCACACAATTCAGATTCCCTTCTTCACCGGCACATTGCAAATTTCTCACACGTTCCAAAAACTTCCAGCCCATCCTTATCAGATTTAATTTCAAATACCGTCAAACTTGTGGAATTTTTTCCACGATTTTCTGCCGCACATCTTCAAATCAGATAACTTTCGCTCTCCGTCTGAAAATACCCAACCGAATGTCTTCTCTTCGGTCCTGAAATCTCCCAAGCTTCAGCGCCAGTTCATCAGCATCAGTGTTTCTCGAAGCGAGCTCTATTTTTATTTAATTGTTTCTAATTAAATGTACCTGAGCCGTTGTTTATGTATACTACGCTAAGCAAAGTGTGCCACAAATTAGTTGCTATATACAATGCTAACTAGCCGCGTGTCATACTGAGTGGAGCGCTTAATCAATGTAATTAGATTTGTCTATGCCTTCACTTCGGAGGTCAGAAAAGAGGGAAATTGTTTGATGAAGTAAACGGCGCACATAAAGTACATGATGTAACTCGCATTTATAAGGATATTTCAACGCAAATTTCACTCAATTTGCACTGTGATCCCATTAACGTGCGTTATCATCGTGCGATGGCACTTTAATTTTCCACACAACGCAAGGGGGAGATAATACAGTGAGAAGTGGTGTACAGCTCAAAGAGAGTATTAGGAAGTGTTTCAATTTTCGCAATATTCGATTCACAGCTTTGATTTTCTGTTAATTATTTTTTTCTTTCAGAAATAAATGAGTGAAAATCGTGATTTTGGAAGTTAAAATCAAGCTAAAGTTAAACATAACCTCAATTTCTCACTAAACAGTAGCAATTTTGAGTTAGAAAAGCTCTAGTAATGAATATTTTATATAACTTCAAGATTAAGGTCAAGAAAAATACCCAAAAGTGCAAAATATTGTAAGAAAACTCCAGTTGGCAGTTTGATTTCAGTTAGTTTTGAGTTAGTTTTCAGTCGTTTTTAGGGTAATCAAACTAAAACTCGAGGAGTTCTGAGAACTGTTAAGAATTTTCTCACACAAATTGTGAATCAATTCTTATCCAAATCTTAATTTTGACATATTTTTCTAGCCTAACATCAAACACAATCTCATATTTTCACTTCATATCACCAAATTTTGAACCAGAAGTGTAAGTCTGAAAATTTAAGATTTCAGTTAGTTTATAGTTGATTTAAGCCTTGTTATAAATAATCCATGAAGTCCAGAATCCTGAGAAGTGCCAGGAAGTGCTGTACAGATTTAAGACTTATTATCATCCCCTTGAAATAACCTGTTAAACCGGGCAAGACGAGGCGATTGTTTTAATGTTCTATCCATTTTAAAGACAAGATTGCAGTGAATTGTAATGATTACAATCCCAGGAAGTAATTGGCAAATTGTGCTTTATGATGAGGTGGCATCGCCTTGAGCATATATCCTATTATAAGCCCAATGCAGGTACATTAAATGCTTTGATATATTAGCCAGAACGTAGTTTGGATATTCTATTGAATTGCATTCTGGATATTTAGGTAAATTGATCTCATGATTATGTATAATAATCCATATCGAATTCTCCCTTTTGATTAGGCGTCAAACATCGTGTTGAGACCCTTTTAAAGTTGATGATGTGTTCTGCTGACGAAGAGAGAGTCTCTCAACATTGCATGAGTTCTCCTTGTCATTGTCAACAGGTAAATATTGATGTATCAACAAGTGAGAATTTCTCGGACATTGCAGCCTTTGAGGTGCAAAGATAACAATATTCTCCATCAAAACTCAATTTGAAAATGTTAGACATGTTTATTGAGTTACTTCTGGGCGAATGGAAAATATTCAGTTGTGACAAAACACAAAGGAAAATCCCAGGGTGTGGGGGTGAAGTTTATTTTCGTGCCATATTTTATGAACCAAAATGGAAGAGTGATTTTGTGAAAGTAATATAAACTAATATCATTCTCCATGCTAATAAAACAAGCGACTCGTACTTTGTGGTTTTCGTCGGTGGCACGGAATCAATAATCGTCTTGTTTAAAACTCAATGACTTTTTATGGATTTGTTTTGTGTCGTTGAGAGGTGCTTCAATTGTCAAACTTTTCAGAGGGAGTTTGGGGTGGAAATCGTTTTTGTGAATCCATTAAAAAAGGCCGCGACTCGCGGATGGAGGAAATGTACCTTCGCGTTCTTTTAGCATATCTCCTTAACAATCTCAAATCGTCTCCCTCACCATCTTGGCATTTTTTCTCTCTCTCTCTCTCTGGGCGTCTTCTGAGGAGTTCCTGCTGCCGACATCTTTTCAATTATGGAATTTTCATTTGGAAGTCTGCACAAATAGACGTATTTCTCCGTGTATTTCGGTTGGAGTTCTTCCTAAATTTGGGTCAGTTTATTTTATTTCCATCCGCAGCACGAGAGGCAAAAGAAGGAGAAGAAAGATTTGAGGAAATGGAAAGCCATAAAAGCCATCATATACTCGTGTAGAATGTATATTTGCACAATTTAAACAATTTCCTCAAAAAATACACTCATTATTATTAGAAGACAAACAGAATCAATTGCACTGCAAAGAGAGCGATTTAATTATCTCCTCCACACCGCGCAACACCTTTCCTCATTTGGCCGAAGCCTTTATGGCAACTGGAGATTTTTATCTAATAATAAACACAGTGAGATGCGTATCTTTTTCGCACACACACGCGTAATCCGCTGGGATGCCCAATTGTCAGGAAGGTATTGAGAGAGGGGAGATTTTCTGGGGTAAACGCCTTTTAAGTGAGCATAAACATGTGAAAAGCTTGAGTGAAAGCGCCCCATTGTTGTTTGGCAAGTGGAGTGAGATTTAAAACCCTCCACAGTCTCTCGTTTTCATTTAATTACCACCCAATTACAACAGATTTCCAGCCGTCTTCGAAGGAGGAAAATTTATTCACCTTCAATTTTGCACCGCGACAGAGTCGAACTGCGAAAGGGTGGCATAAAAATTCAATTAAAACTCCACCACCACGCCATAAAGAGCCAATATCAAGTTGCATTGAAGTGCAGCTTATTTGTTTGCACTGTAAGACAAGAGAAAATATACCACACATTTTCTACCACAAATCCTCCACATCTGTTTGTATTAAAATACCATTAGGACGATGCTATATCCAATTTCATTCGCTCTGTGTACACAGACTTTGGACTTTTGAGCATAAATTTCCCAGAATCTCATGCAATATTAAGCAGTGTCAGGAGCTTAAGAAGGTAGATTTTACAGAAAATTGTATTTCGCAGGCAAAGAAAAATAGTTTGACTGCAAGTAAAGTTTTTCCACAGCAAGAAAAGACGGTTACAACGCTTCTCTTGTTGTTGCCAAAAAGCTCAAACTTACACATAAGATTTAAGAGTTTCACTTTGATGTGGTTTATTCATATGACAACATTAATTATGTTGAAACACAAATGCTGTCTTTCGTTCCATGGATTCTGTGTAAATACAAGAATTTTATGTATAATCACACTTTCTATGAAGTCATGTGGAATTTCTTAAAGTCAATTCAAGAGATTTTTCCGTGTTTAAATAATTCCACGCTTTTTTGGGTATAATATTGATGTTTTTCCAACGCGCAATATAATCTTTTCTAACCAGAAAAATCCCGAAAGTCATCCAATTTATTCTGAGAGTATAGCTTTAATTATGGCGGAGGCAAATAACATTTTGTCTGTTCCATTGTCTTGATTCCTCAAATTAAATTATTTTCTCCACACTCTTCTGCAGACATTTAAGCGCAAAACTTGAACGTTGGCACATTCAAAATTGCTGTAGATCAGTGACAACATTAATTTGTAATTACAAATGGAGAATGTTCCAAATATTTTCCTCACTGGAAGAAATCCAAAATAAATCCAAATCTACTCTTTCATCATTCCACATCATTATATTGCGTGACTTCTTTTCTTGTGTTCCTTATCTGTGGATGATTAGATATTTTGTGAATATTGAAAAAGTCTTCTTTTTCATTGAAGCACAGGATTAACAAATACTTTATGGAGATTTGAAGCAAATTGAAATACATTTTCCATCATTGATTAAAATCCGTTGTTCAATTTGAACTTCCTGTGTGTGAAGTATATGCTGCATGTGTAGCATAAACAGTGCTTCATCGCCAATCGGTTTTAACACAGACCCATTTTTGCCCATATGCTTAAGGGAAATTTGCTGTGATGGCGCGGAAAGATGTTTTTCAAATATTATCAGATATGTAACTTCCCCTTATTTGATAAAGTATTCTCGTTGTACATGAGAGTGTGAATTATTTGTGTGTTAAAACACGCGTTTATTCACGTAAAATTGCTATCATAACACCGAAAATCACTTTGTGAATGATGCAGTAGTTGGAGAATATTTGTTCAGCGGGCATCAATTGGTAGAGTTCCTCAGCTCCAGGAGAATCAGTCCGAATCAGAGGATGACTCTACATTCAATAATAATTCAATGATTATGCTCTCAGCCCTGGACATCAAGTCCAACATCAAGCAAATGATGATAAGAATAAGATTCATGTTTGATAACATCCAACGTAATTTTCTCATGAATCCGCGTTCCTGTTTTCGAATTTGACCCTTTGGTCATACCCACACGAATCGCTCCATGAACAGGGAGCTCCTGAAGCTGACTGTGTACATCAAGGAAATTGCTAGGACTTCACCAAGTTGGACCATCGCAACTGAGAGTTTAAAAGCAAGGGTATTTGATTAGTCGAGACACAAACCGAAATTCATTTGAACGGATTTCAGTTTATTGCGTAATCAATCTTGTTATTACAACAGAAAGAAAAAAGGGAAAATTCATGAAATTCCAATGCTCGGATGTTAATATAGTATAATAAGTATAGCTTCTGTTCCTCCCAGTCAATTGGATAAGGCGTCTCAATTTTGGGCATCATGGGAAGAAGCCTCAGCAGCGACTTCAGATTTCTCCCCACGCTCAGAGGAACCTGCAGAGGAAGTTTCCTTATCCTTGTTCTCAGGCATCGCCGGCGTACTGGCTTCAAGTGCATCCACTTGCTCCGCGAAAATCCTTGTCATCTCTTCCAATAGTTCCACCTTGACCTCAACTTTGCGCTTGGCTCTCTCGAACTCTAATGCGAAGTCTGTGAGAGTCTTCCTGTCGCCATCATCAGTATTCGGCAAAGTGACAACGAGGGTGATGATCTCCACTGAAAAAGAGACACCAAATGCTAGGAACAGGAACATCACAGATTGAGTGAATACCGGGGCAACTTACAGAACTCCTGCACCAGTTCATCTTTGCCATTTTTCACCAGCCTCAAACATTCTTTCACTTTAGCTACGATATCCTTGAATAGGGCCACTTTTTCCAAGTGCTCACGACGTTTCTCCTCGAACAAGTTAGCCTCCGTCGCTTCCGTGATGTTTCCAACATCCTCACCATCTTTAATATCACGTGCCCTGGCCATTATCAAAGATAAACTCGCGAGAAGACAAATACGTATAAATGGACGAAACACAGAAAAATGCTCAAGTACCCGCGCGAAATGACGTAAAGTGAGGTTGTGAAGTCTGAGAAACCCTTTAAATGCCGCGTCCTTCCGCAATTATTTCCAATAGAGAGATTCGGAAGACAGTCTGCAGAGCTTTTCCTATTTGCATATGGATTTTCATTTTACAATTTAGAATATGGATATTCCCAAAAATATTCTTGAGTAAAAACAGGAAAAAGAATTTATTTACGATTAAACTTACTTTTACATATCATTATGTGATAAATGAAGTAAATTAATGAATATTAGATTGCGAATAAGACAATAAGACCCTTCCGTCAAGCCCACGTGAATCGCTCCATAGACAGGGAACTCCTGAAGCTGACTGTGTACCTCAAGGACATTGCTGAACATTTAGAAGACTTCACCAAGTTGAACCATCGCAAGTGGGAGCATTACAAACCGTGAAGCCAATAAATCCACACACACACAATTTCTTTTATAAATCCTTTATTCGGCTATCTCAGCGCGCGCGACCATCATTGTACATATCCAAGAGCAGGTCGGCATTTCAAAAAGTGAGAAAGAACGCCTAAATGTCAATTTTTATGTGATATTACACATTTTCTGTTTTTTTTTCAATTATTATAGAATTTATTTTTGTGATAGAAAAAAGAACAAGGAAAATTGCAAATGCCTTAAGTATCAATGCAAAGTATTCAAAAAGTTCTACCGTGTTTTGTTGGGGTTTTTCCTTTTCAAGAAAAAAACCATTGAGAATTTGCTACTATACAAGAAAAGAACTCTGAGGAATTTTCTCTAAGAAAAACCCATATTTTTTCCATAATTGCATTCTACATCTAAAAAGAGTGTGATTTCATATTAATTTGCGAATATTCTTTTTCCTTCCTTTTGTTAAAATCTTATTCTGGCTGATTTGCTGACAAAAATTTCATTTCGGAGGATCTCACGCATCTCGTGTTCTCTCTGTCTCCCTCTCCTTCGCTCTCAGCTTAGAACGCCAAACCGGCATCTCTGTAGGTGGTGAATATCTTCTCAATGGAGTTAACATAGGCGGCAGTTCTCAGGTCCAGGCCCAGATTGAAGCGCATGGCCGTCTTCATGATGGCCCTGGCCGACCTCTCCATGGTGTAGTCCAGGCCAGAGTGGACAATGTCCTTCTCAGAAGCACCAGAGATCCTTTTCTGGAAGGCCTCAGATGCAGTGACGGGAATTCGACCGCCAACACGTCCAAAACGACGCTCCAAAGACTCCTGGACAGACTCTGCAATGTAAATCCCCGGTTAGAAAATTACCTCAACAATCAGTCTCAGCAAAACACTCACCCAAAAGATGGTAGTTTGATTCGCGCTCGTACTTGAAAGTCAGACGACCGTACGACACATGGTTGAGGTTCTTGAGCCACTCGAAGAAGGACACAGTCACACCACCGGCGTTGATGTACAGATCAGGAATCACAAGGATGTTTCGGTCGATGAGGATTTTGTCAGCAGCTGGAGTTGTGGGACCATTGGCAGCTTCAGCGATGATCTGTAATGCAGAGAGAAAAGAAGATATTTAGCTTTAGATGCAGAAGAACATGGCCACATCCGTCAGATATCAACATTTCTGCAACGTTCTTCCTAAAATCGTTCTTATCAGATGAGCTTCGAGAGAAAAGCCTCCTATGTAGTAAGAAAAGAACCCTTCGACACTTGATATTCATCATAAATTTATTCAATATGATTTTCAGTGATTTTAAACATTTAAAATTAACTTACACATGCCATTCTACTACAGATTATCATATCCAATCCATATTTAAGCTTATATAATAATTCTTATAAGTCAGCCCGAGAAGAAAAGCAAGAGATTCTCTCTACTGCATGAAGTAATCTGGATGATCGGAATCCTTCTCGAAGCGCTTCGCCTCCTCTTGCATGCTCTCCTTAATCTTCAAAATTGCCGCTGATTCCGTATTTTCACCTGGTCCCGCGAATGCGCCCAAGTTGTAATCACCCATGCCACTGCCGGAGTCTTCGCGGGGCGTTCCGGGACCCCCATTGGCCGGGGAGTTCTTCATACCATCCATACCGTCGCCACTCAGCACTGGGCCCATGTGACCACCATCCGGCCCGCCGCCCATCGGGAACTCTCCGCCCATGTTGCCTCCGGGCACTGGTTTCATCATCGTGTACATGCTCTCGCCACCCGAATTGCTGGAGTCCTGCGGAGACGGCATGATAGGTGTGCCAGGTCCAGGAGGTCCGCCGTACGTTCCGGGTGACGAGGCGGAGCAAGACGTGTTAGGCTGCCACTGTGGTCGACCCGCAATGCCCATGCCTGGCGGCATACCAGGCCCTGGACCTCCCATCATGCTGTTGGGCGGTGGGGGACGAATACCGACCGGACCGTAGCCACCGGGGCCACGCGGAGGATTCATGCGCGGATTCATCGGTCCCATGCCCGGTGGTCCACCCGGACGTGTCGGATCCATGTTGTTGGGCATCATCGGCTGTCCTGGTGGCCCGTTGAACTCATTTCCCATGCCCTGCGGCATTCGAACACCAGGACGAGGCCCTTGCGGATATCGCGGAGCGCCCATGAACGGAGGGAAGAAGTTGGGTGCCATTGGACCTCCGGACATCCCATCATTGGGCGCCATTTGCCCCAGTGGACTCGGAGCAGGACCAGTGTTGTGTGGCATACCATTCACGCCGTATCCGGAGCTCACAAAACCGTAGTCATGAAAGGCCTTGGCCTCGCTCGAATGGTCGCACTGATCACGACGCTCTGGAGCAGCGCAATACAGATCCCAGAAGACACACCACCATGAGTGCAGGAAGCCTGGTGGCTCGCCCAGTGTGATGTTTTTCTCCCATCGAATCTCCGACAAGAAAGTTTGCGCTGCCTTCTGTGCGCCTACGTGCAGCAGATATTCGTACACATATAGTGCGAGTTTCTCCCTCGCCTGGGCGTCAGACGGCACCGTGGAATTCTTCGATTTGCCGTACATTTCATCAATCGCCCAATACACGATACCAAGTAGAAGCTCCTTCTGTGTGAATTTGTGCTCACAAGTAGCGCCCCAGACGAAGAGCGAGGCCCAGAAAAGCGATTTTCTTCGCGACGAAAAAATGGAACTGCACTGTCAAAACACAAGACGCCACGGAAGCTCGACACTCGCGCCCTCTGACATTTACTAGAGATGTTCACACTTTATCGATGAAAACGATGAAAATTACTGGGTGTCCTTGGGTGTAGCACAAGGGGTTGCTCAATGCTACATTTTGTGTCGCGGTATAACTTGAACTTAAATTTCAAAACAAAACGGACAAACCTACGAATTTTACATCCCAAATTTTTAAGTACACTCTTGAAAATCGCGTGATATCATTACTTTCTTTGGTTTGGATGTTTTTTTCTACCTACCTTTTATATGATGCTCCTAAAAAGTAAACTTATGACAAAAAATAAACAGTCAAGTTACCAAACTCTTAGAACCCTTTTGAAGATTCCATAAATTTTATCTCTATAAGATTGTACGAATAATTGTAATAATATTGTGCGACTGAGATTGAATTTCTTTCTAGATTTATAGAACTACTCGCTGTGAATATTATTTACTTCAGACACTGAAAATATCTCTACTGTCTTATTCTTCTTTCCCCCCAAACCTTACATAATAGCGCGCGTTGTGTTATCCACTTGGCCACATGATCTCGCAAATCAACATAAGCGTGATTCAACTTTGAAAACACATAAATTCCTTCTGTTTTCCATCTGTAAAATCTACATTGAAACCAATTCAAACTTAGTGAATGCATCTTATCCCAACAAATCCCACCAAATACTGCAATATTTACAGAAAATCTCTCTATCACTTTGTCTTTATCTCTCACTCTCACTCTCTCTCTCTCTCTCTCTCTCTCTCTCTCTCTCTCTCTCTCTGTAAAGAGTCGCAGTCTAAAATTAGATTTTGCATGAACTTAGGCCGAATTTCAATGAGAACTCGGTGATAAAAGTGCTTCTCGTCAGCTATTAATACCTTTCTCATGAATATTATTGTGACTTTTTTTCCCGTGCCAGAGATGTACTTTCTCTTTCCTCTGTTCACTCACCTTTGCCTGAATTAGATGAGCATTGTCACTCGTGATGACCTTCTCCACGGCGGCAGGAATGAAGATGTCACACTGCTCGTACATCAGATTCTCACCCTTGTACGCCTCAGCGCCCGGGAAGCCGTTGATGGTGCCGTTCTCATTCCTGTAGTCCTCCAACTCCTTCGGGTCAATGCCATTAGGGTTGACAATGGAGCCATCGTGCTCAATCACGCCCACGCACGTCGCCCCAGCGCGCACCAGGTAGCGGCATGTGTGCAGACCCACATTACCGAATCCCTGCACGATGAAGGTCTTGCCACCCCATCCGGGAGTTGTTCCAATCATACTCATGTAGTTCGCCTCATTGATGAAGTTCTCCAGCCCGTGGAAGACGCCGCGTCCAGTGGCGGACACGCGGCCGTGAATGCCACCCTGGTTGATGGGCTTTCCCGTCACACACGCATGAGCATTGATGTCCTGATGGCCGATCGTCTTGGCGTACGTGTCGGCAATCCAGCTCATTTCGCGCTCACCAGTACCCATGTCCGGAGCCGGAACATCCACGCCGGGCCCAATGAAACCCTTCTTGGCCAACTCCAGTGCGAAGCGACGCGTGATCTTCTCCAACTCGTGCTCAGAGTAGTTCTTAGGGTTGATCTTGATACCCGCCTTAGCGCCACCAAATGGCACATCGACACAAGCGCACTTGAACGTCATCAGAGCCGATAAAGCCTTCACTTCGTCACGCGACACGTCCATCGAGAAACGAATACCTACAATACACCAAAAAGAACGCACATAATGATATTATCATGAAGATATTTGATCTGAACTAAGAGGCAGATTATAAAAAAGGGAACATGTAAGCAAAAAATGTACCATTTTACATTCTTCTACTAATGTACAATAATTGTGTTAGAAAAAAAAAACAATTCAGGGGACAATTAATAGACCTTTATTTCGCAATGAAAATAAAAATCTATTTGTTCACCTAATTTTTCCAATCAGCACTTCAACAACTCAAGTTTGTAAGCTTGTTGATTCATCTTGAATCACGATAATTGCCCGAACAAACGCTCCCTCTGGCTTGTTTATCAGACGGAGACAATAATTGACAAATAATTTCATTAACACACTAAAAGAGACCCCTTAGTTACAGAGATATCTCAAAGCAAAATCACAATTTATATTCCTCTCCTCTAGACGGACAAGAAAAGAACAGAATGTAGGAAAAAACTACGACAAAAAGAAAGATACAATTTCGGCAGATTACTTCGCTTTAATCTTCACGAGGTCAATTGACATGATTCACCTCTGAATAATCAAGTCAAGATAGGCAACGAATATGAGGTCGTTTTTCCTGTCTGAAAACTCCTGCAGTAGCCTTATGAAATCCACACCTCGCTGCGGATCATCAAAATCCCACACTCGACGAGTGACCCTTATCACGGGGAAGAGAGCGACTCTTATGTAACAATTCAATAATAAAAGCGTGTGGCTGTCAACAAGGCACAAATTTATGATTGCCTCAGCGCGCTTTTGTGCGCGCCAAACGCGATAAGAAGAATTGGGAGAAACACTTGTCGAGGGGCTGCACTTTTGCCAGATGTTGTTGGTGGTCGACAGGAAATGGACAGAAAAGTGGCATGACCGAGAGACTAAAGAGGCTTGTTCATTCGCTGAGACGCTGACACACCCCTCAACACAAGTTACAATCGATTATAAAGCTTGATTTGTGAGAGACATACATATATTGAAAGGAAACCGATGCTCTTTGGCTTACAAAAATGCCGTTCGCGCATGTCAGATTAAATAGTCATAAAATACTCTCTAGTTCACACAATCCTTCAACGTGGATTTACCCCCTGGATTTTCCAATATTACGTCTTGTACCTATAGTTTTGATAAAGTTAAACTTCCAGCAATTTAGTAGTGAGATCAAGAGCAACACAGATAAGAAATGTGGCATGTGAGATAGTCACACGCTCGGTAAAAATGCACAAAGCCTTCCTCAAGTTCTCTATCAAGGTCTTCTCACACAGAAAGAAAGAAAGAATGGGTACAAAAGAGAAGAGATTCTTATTATCGGTTTCATGTGCACGGGCAAAAGTGATAAAGATTCATCGTACTGGCTAAAAATACTCTTATTGGAAAATCAATCAGTCTGAGAGAAAGAGAGCGAGAAAAATTGCTGCCCGCCTCGATCCTCAATTCGCTTTCTATACACACATACCCAGAAACTCTCACTGGGCAACTCGCAATTAATTAGAGATGGTGACACATATTACATAAAAGTTGATATACTTTCGAGGAAACAGGTGAAAGACGCATGGCAACGCGAAGACGATCTGATACAAATTGATCACACAGAGAATAAAACCTGTTCAAAATGCTCGATGACCAACTGAGAACAGCCCAGAGAGTGTGTGGAAGAGACCTTGGAACGTGTTTTCGCGGTACACGCGGCTCAGACACTTCTGCTGATGTTCATCTCTCGCATGACAAATCTCACACACTCACACCTCGGGCGATAGAAATAGAAGTGCAGAAGATTGAGGAAAATTTCTCACTCTCCGAGCGACAACTGAAGTCACGAGACCCTTGCTTCTGACCCACATTTCTCATACCAAACAAGAGCAATTACACATCGCTGTGCTCCAGACTCTTGCGTAGAGGAATATTTCGAATGACAGAGAATCCATTGGCCTATAAGGAAGTGCCATAAATTGTATATTTTCCGTGGCCATTAGAATTGAAATTGATCATGAATGCTAATAAACCCAGTCGAAAATTTGCGATAAGCGCGAAACAGACTCGGTTTCACATTTCAATTTCACATTGAACTTGATAATTTCCGTCTATGATGCAAAAATGTCGAGATCGAATCTATAGAGAAACTGAAACTCATTTTTTCACCATATGCGCAAAAGCACATGAACTCGCTTTTTCGCTGATTAAAAATCTAGTTCAAACTAAATAGGGTCCATCACTTGAATTGCAGTAGTCAAATAGCAGACGGAATAGTGACTTTGTATATATTGCTGCCCAAAAATGCTTACATCACACGTCAAACTCCATGAGTTCGAGGCTAACAACCTTTCAGAAAAGCAAAGAGATAGTTCTGTGGTCATCCGGCTTAATTCAGAGATATGAAAGACCTTTATCTGTCTTCCTTTTACCACTCAATTTAGTTACTTCGAATATTATAATATATTTGCACTTAAAGATATGTACGAATAATGCGCATGGCAACTGCAATCACAGACTGATAAAAAAAAAAGTGTCACTCTTTTTATCTCAGAAGATCATACTTTTGGCTAACAAACTTCCGAAGTGATCACAGAAATTCCTCATCTAAGCAACTTTTTGGTCTACACATACAAAAAAAGAACCCATTAAATCCGGCTATTTACGTCATTTCGTCACACATTCTCAAGCCCAGATAGAGACTGAGATGCGAAGTGAGGTAATCAGTGCATGTCTGGATCACATGAGAACACCCGGGACTGGAGAAACTCACCTCCTTTCGTGGGTGTCCTGTGGGTGCTGTGCTGGGCACGATAGCCGAGGATCATCTCGTAATCGCCAGAGTCACGCCTCAGCGGGAAGGAAATCTCGATGATATGATCGCAATTTTGCATCAGCATGAGAATACCCTTGACCTTCTTCTTCTTCTCCTCGGTGCTGATGCGACCTTTCATCTCCTCCACCAGCTTATCCTCGGCCACTTGGCAAGCGCGATGGAAGAAGAACTCCACCATGTCGTAGAACTTGGGATTCTTGGCCGTGCCCACATCCTTCAGTCTATCGGGAATCTGGTGATCGGCGTAGCCGCGTGACACTTGCCAGCACGCCACTGGGGCACTCCTGGCCACTGCAGCCAGCTCCGTCCGCACGGCCGCGTGTCGAACAACATTTCTCAGGTGGAACATCTCTTCTCTCTCTGTGTCTCTTCACGATCTGAGCAGAATAACCAGCACCAGCCACAGCACGACCAACACTGAAAGTGTATGACGGATTATGCCGTGAACAAGTGTAAATTTAAAATTAGCACGTGGACAAAAATGGGACACATCGCTGGAAGATTCTGTGGACATTGGTTGTTGTCTAAATGAGATTAGTTATCAGGGACTCATCGATTTTTTCCATCCACCCGATTTTCCGGTGAAAAACCCTGATTTCCCACAGGAAACTTCGAGATTCACTCATGTAGCTATATAACGAACCATTGGGAAGCTTTTTGTGCAGGAAAATCAAAAAATATCAACCGATAATTACCTTTTTCCGCACAAATTCACTCGCGAGAAACTCACTCACACGATACACTGACAATCGATGACTACCCAGTGAATCTAGCGGACAAAAGGGGCATAATTTGGAAGTATACTGTGTTTACGCTAATCTCCGGTAGAGAAAAACTCTTGAAGTTTGATATCCAAAGAGGTTAGGAAAGAGTGGTGTTTCCCTTTCCGGGGTTTTTCTCTGTTACCTCGCGCATTTCTGGGATAAAAGTCCTCACAGGGCAGTGAAAATGAATCAGGCGGATGTGTCGAAGCTGGTGTCACAGCTGAAGTTTGCCATTCGGCCGAAGCACAGAAAATTATCATGTCCAGACGGTCCGGAAGGGCGAATGCTGAAACTGCGAAAGACTGTCACGGCGCTCCTCATGAATGAACGGCTAGAGTTGAACTTTGCCAGGGCGGATGAGTCTCGAGGATACGCAGAACGGGTAAGAGCAGACTGGAGAGATTCTTAAGCAATGCTGACCACTTTTCTTTTACAGCTCATCAGCGAAGCCATTCGGCATGGAGACTGCCACAAAGCAACCATGGAACTGGCGGACTTCTGGCTGCTGGAGAAGCAGTGCGTCCACAAACTATTCAAGGTGCTGGTGCCGCGCTATGAGAACTACAACGTCTCCTTCACGCGTATGTACAAGGCACCTCGGGATTATCCTGGATGGCACTATAAGCGGGCAGTTCTGGAGCTGCGCGGCAATCCCTTCCCACCTCTTGTGCCGGACAAAGTGCTGAACAGGAACTTCATTCACAATGTACTGCTGGACGAGGCCAAGAAGGCGTACCGTTTTGAGAAGTACGCGGAAATCTCCAAGAACATGAATGTGACTGAGAATCTGAGCCAGGAAGCGAAGGATGACGGCGGAAGCAGTAGCGAGGATGAGGTGGAGAGTAAGAAGTAGCCTTATAGTCAGTCTCTGTGTAGATTCTAGTGTAAATAAATTGGTAAATATTGAATATTCATCTTTACTTTGGATCGAATCAATTGAGAAGCTTTGAATTTCTTAGAAAATCACACGCTTTAGGTTTAGCAGTAATAAGCACAGGATTAACAAATACTTTATGGAGATTTGAAGCAAATTGAAATACATTTTCCATCATTGATTAAAATCCGTTGTTCAATTTGAACTTCCTGTGTGTGAAGTATATGCTGCATGTGTAGCATAAACAGTGCTTCATCGCCAATCGGTTTTAACACAGACATATTTTTTGCCCATATGCTTAAGGGAAATTTGCTGTGATGGCGCGGAAAGATGTTTTTCAAATTTTATCAGATATGTAACTTCCCCTTATTTGATAAAGTATTCTCGTTGTACATGAGAGTGTGAATTATTTGTGTGTTAAAACACGCGTTTATTCACGTAAGATTGCTATCATAACACCGAAAATCACTTTGTGAATGATGCAGTAGTTGGAGAATATTTGTTCAGCGGGTATCAATTGGTAGAGTTTCTCAGCTAAGAGAAAGTACATTGAATGTAGAACAACGGTGGAGAGTAAATATTGAATTGCTCTAGAAAAGAACAGTGATTTTGAGCGGTGACCTAAGGCAATTAGTCTTGCGAAACCCACCGAAATTGGCTTATCAATTAAGTGCAAAACAGCAACTGGCTATCGCCGCTCCTTGTGAATCCCACCAAGAAGTCGATGGGATATAAAAAGTGGGCGAAGCAATGCTGCACTACCAGTCGACTGTCTTCCACCCTCACAAGATACACCCTCTCTCTGCCCGCCAAAGTAAAGTGTTTTCCCCTGTTTTCGCCCAGGAACTTTCATCGATTGAAAAGTTGCTCGGTTGTGTGTTTGAAGTCAAACTCAGAAGGAAATATAATGAGGATTCAGCCTGATATTAAAGTTTTCGCCATTGTGAGCATTTCTCTGGGATTTTTGCACTTCACCAGCGGCACAGGTACCCACACCGGCAATAATGGAGTTGGTCCATTTCAAAATATAGCCAATCGAGGTGAGTTTTATTTCATCAACAGGATGTGCCCTCGTGCAATATTAAAAAGTTCATACACGTGATACAACACTAAAATGTTATTCCAATTCAGTGCACATAAATTTATAGCGAGAGCCTGATAAATAATACATCCTATAAGCTTCTATTTTATTGAGATTTATAAGATATCGCCTTCATTTCTTCGAGCCATCTCCAAAATAGACTTTTGGAAATCAACCTTTTCCCCAATATCCTTGGAGTACACACTCAATTCCCAGGAGCAGAGTTTTATTTACCTTCCGGATTCAATAAACTAACCTACATTTACAAAATATTGATGCACATCGCCCTAGCGTTCTTTAGTGAATAATAGAAAAATGCGAAATCCTTGCTGTTTTCCAAACTCCCATCAACCGCCAACCTTCAATTGCAGCCACCTACGGTCCTTGCACCAGCACTGTTGGCGCTGGAACATGCATGAGACGAGCAGATTGCCTGGCAGCCGATGGAGAAACTCCACCGGGAGACTGTGGAGTGAAAGGAACGTACTGCTGCACTGGTAATTACTTTCCATGGCAAAAGCAGCGAGCTTTTTCAATACCCCATTAAATTGTTTGATTTCTTTTATCCTGCGGCTCAACAATTCAGCTTTCCTTGGATGCGGTGGAACGGCACATCTCAAGAGAGTTTACATTGAGCGCGAAGGGCCCTTCGTCACAAACTGCAATCACAACATCATCATGATTAATGAAAATATCTGCCAGGTTTTACAATAATATAGTAATTATTACAGTTGAGCGGGATATTTTATGAATTGTGTCCTTTCAGCTGAGACTTGACTTTGAGTCGTTCCTGTTGGCACCACCAACGGATATTGGGGGTGTTCCTATGTGTCTTGTCGACACATTCCAGGTGAAGGACTTCCAATTGTGCGGTGTTAACGATGGGCAACATGGTAAAATTTCTTTGTGCAACAGATATTTTCAGTTGCGAACAGTCATACATACTTTTTGTTGTAATCATAGCCTATGTTGACGTCACTCCTGGCACGCAGCTCAACGTGGAGCTCTCGTTTACCCTCATGGATCGCGCACTGAATCCTGCCCTTCCGGATCCTCAGTGGAGAATCCTCGTGACGCAGATTGAGTGCGCTCCCGGAGCTGTCACAGTCCGCACTGGGAGGGACTTGATTGAGGATCTCTCTGCGGAGGACGAGTATACAAGAGAGCCCAGAGTTCTACACAATCAACCTCCGGCATACATCCTGGACCAGGCAATTCTCGCCCCGCGCGGTTGCTTGCAGTATTTTTCCACGCCCAGTGGCTTCATCGAGTCGTTCAACTTCAATCATGGCATGGGCACCTATCCCGGCAACATGCACTACGCCATTTGCTTCAAGAGGCGCCCCAATGACAAGAGAATCACGTGAGTAGTGGCACTTTGTGCGCACTAACATGAGAGATATTCTATTATTTTCCCATTTTGCCCATTTCGAAAGATTCACATCGCTCTTCTTCCAATTGGGCTTCACAATTCTCTCGGCGGATAACGAGGGCTACGATAATATTTGCTTCACCCAAATTGAGTCACCGGGACGCTCGGAAGATTACCTCTTCATCCCTCAAGCGATTCGGCAGAGTTTCCCCAACGTACGTGCCAGCTACTTCTGTGCCCAGAGTTTAGCAAACACTTCTGTTATTGGTAATCAATTTTCATTTATTCATCATAAAGTCATTTCAGTGCATGCGAGCGGGGGCGGAGATGTCCCAGCAGGGCGACAAAATATCACTAGGTCACACCAGAAGCAACATCAAACTGTCCAACCTACCACTTTCCTTGGCTATAATTTATCTCCTCTTCTCTCTTTTTTTTTTACTATTCCAGCCACTCAGCCTGGGCCCTTCGTCATTCACTTCAACAGCGACTCACTGTATGAGCCCCAGCGACCAGAAATTGGATTTCGGATGAGCTATCAAATCAGTTAAACGATTTCTCTCCATCTTCGTGCGCCCCACAATTCACACCCTGGGAAGATTAATACGTAAAAAATGATGGATTGAGTACTTTTTAGCAGAAATATATATGTATCTTTGATTCTCTGCAAATGAAGTGATTTTCCGTGCCCCACATTCGTCTGCCACCCCCAAACTTAACCCCCAGGATTCGGTGAAAGTCTCCGCGCGCGCGAGAAGTCCTTAAAGTGTAATTAACATCGCGTTAATCAATCAAGCAGGCGTCCGACACCGAAATTGTTAAGTAATTAAACAAATACAACATCCAACCTGACCTCATCCACAATCAACTCCCCCATCTCCAATCACCCCAGAGACAAAGGAGTGCTTTGAAGACCATTACAATTAATTCACTTCGCAACACTGCACAAGTGATTTGCTTACTTTCCATTTTTAAGTTTGACTTTTCCGTCAACAAAATTGAGAAAATGTCACAAGAGTGATAAAACTTTCTTGTGCACACACACTTTGGCAGAAAGGTGGAGTGACAGACTCTCGTTTTGCCCTCACCTCGTGGGGATGAGATGCTGTACTCAGAAAAATCACTGCTTGCCAATGTTCTGGTGCAAGAGCTTTACTATAGAGACGTTAAACTACTTTCTGACATTCTAAATGTTGGTTTTTGACTCTTAGTACGTCAATTTAAACAGTCACATGAAAACAGAGAAAAGAGCAGTAGTCTCAAAGATGGTTACCCAGTCTTTTGCATACATATATTTTCCAGCAAAATTGCCTATGTAGAATTCTTTGTTGCCAAACTCGAAGTGGGTGTAAATCGTAGTGTGAAAGACAAAATCAAATTCGCCAAATTCTACACATTTCACTGTATTTCTCTCAGTGTGAAAGGCACGATGGAGCTTTAAGTGAGAAAAGCTCGAATGGTGAAAGTATGCAGGAAGTTTAGATTGTGTTGTCGGAAGAAATTTGTATACGAGAAAATCTTTGATATTTTGTTTATTCCTCATGCGCAACAAAATTCCCTCACACCCTTGTCTAACTTTGTTTCATGGGCTGAAATGGAATTGAGTAAGTGCTCTTTGGCGAAGGGATGAAATGGAAGAGAGTGAAAATTGGGACGATATTTTTACCTTTTCTTGCCTTTCTAACACTGAATTTCAATTAATTTCCAATCAAATTCACAATCAGTTGAACAGCGCCAGAGAGAAATGGTGATATGGCTCCCTAATATTGGGGCCCCGAAAGGGCGGAAGTTATATCACCCAAAGTCATTATCGTCCTGATATTTGCGATGTGTAATCTGCAGTGTCATGTCACGTACCTAAACTCCTTACGATGAGCCTTGGTCATCTTATTCGCATTCCTGCTGATGAGCCCGACCCCACCGAACGAGCCCTACGTCCAAACACTATCCAACACGGACTCGAAATTGCCATCGATTAACTTCCAAGAGATCATATTAACACTACACATTATAGGCATCTCGTCAGTGAACAAAGTAGGGAACCTATAAGTGCCCCAACTTTCCTCATTCGGCGGAGGTTATAAAAATTAAACTTCATCTTCATGAACTCTATTGGAATTTCAACCCAAAACATTTGGACCACTTGATGAACTACAGACAAAACGAATATTCTTCCTCCACTCCTAACTGCTTGCCTTGTCTAAACACCCACCAGAGAATTGCGGACCTTTGCTAAAGGTCATTCCCGTTCCTTTTCACTCTGTGCGCTGTACGAATATTAGTCCGTTGGAAAAATTTGTTCAATTTCGACACATGAGTTTCCACCCCTGTGGGAAAAGCCAATGACAAATGACTTTCGGCGTTGTGTCTGTGCATTGACCTCGAGTGGAAATTGGTTTTGTGGGACAGTAGAGTGGAACTTGCGGCATTATAACTCTGTTTGCATTACATCGAAATGGCAAATCACCCAGCAATTAATTGCAATGAGACCAAAAGGAGAATTCCTCACCACATTTTCTCATCCCCTACAGTCTGTGCAGGTAGAATTTCTCAACATCATAATGCCATTGGGGCCTTTCCACTTGCCGTCCTGTCTTACGTCCACCGAGCCACTTCTTCATCGTCACTTTTCATGGAAATTTCATCGAGCTTGAAATAAATGTAGCATGAAAAGATTTTATAAGTCCCCCTCGCCGAACATTTCATAAATGTTACTCGGTATTCCACTTTACACCTGAATTGTGTGTACAGAATTTTTATGATCCCATATTGTTGTCCACCACTTTAGGCAACAATGTGATTGCTGGAAATAGTCAATTCAGTGTATATGGAAATCCACGGTACATATTTTCGTTTAGTTATATGACTTTTGGAAAAGGGATGTTTTTCGAAAAAAAAAACACACCTACGAAACACTGCAGAAGTTCGTGTTGGTGAATTCTCACACCTCATGGGGTTTTACGTAATTTTAAGTGTGAAATTTTCATTAATCCATACGGTATATTAATTACATCATACACCTTATCACGGGAGGAATCTCTATCATCTGCGCAAATCTACCAGCAAGTGCCAGTGTAGTTGTGGGTGCAGTGTTACTCTGATATATCGACCCGATGGGGCAAGGCAAAAGCTCTCCGACGTCATATTTTGGCCATAACGCTTCCCCACCACGAGAGAGCAGAGCTTTTTCATCCCACCGGCCAAATACCACAAATATTTCATCTCGGTCCCATTGAGGTTCAGATGCTTTTCTTTACTGTGGGCATATCAATCTCACGGGTGGGGAAAAGCCCGGTCGTATCTTGGGGAAGGGCGACATCGTAATTTTGCAGTGAAGTGGAAAATGCAATCTCCGAATTTTGCACCCAGAGACACAGAAACCTAATTATTGCAGTAAATTCTGTATGGGTGAAAAAGGAAGAAAATTCAATTTCCCGAGGAGAGAATTTATGGCTCAGCAGACACCTTAACTCACAGGGCGCATCTTGAGGTCCTGCACTTGGCGCTAGGACAAGAGGGAGGGTAATTATTTGATATCGAGGAGGCCAATCGAGCGAAATGTTCAATATCATGGGCTCGAAAATGGTGTTAACTGCGTGGCGGAGTCGCTAAATTCCACCCCCTCCGTCCGCGTGAGCGCTGCGAGGTGCGGTGTGCAAAAGTCACCTAGTAACGTCGAAAGTGGGGTGCCACCCATAAATTTCCCCACCGTTTGCCGCCAAGGGTAAATAACCGTGCCGAGGGGAGGCTTCCACACCACCTGATGACGATGCAAACTGGCGCGCTGGCGGAGAAATCGAGCGAAAGCTCCATCGGTGGGGTGTCACGGCGACTGCGAATGCGTTGCTAAGCTACCACCGAGTCGCCCTCGAGAGCACAAATCCATAATATATACATTCACTACTTCACCCGCACAAATTCATGTGTATCCAACACTGGAGAGGCCAACACTGCGTCAGCATGCATGTAGTTGGCAGACAAGATAGTTTGTGTGCGTGAATTATTCAAAAACCCCATAATTTAATCGTGTTTTAACGATCCCCGCCCGCGTGCATTTCCCAGCACACGCAAAAAACTGTATAATGTCGCAATATAGCACAATATGGACAAGCTGCGAGTTTCAACTCGGCGCATTTTTGTGTGGAATTATGTAATCTGCGTTGAAGCTGTATGCGCCCGAAAGGGCGCTCCTGGGCGATCGTGGCGTAGATGAGAGCGAGAGGAATGCCACAACATTCCACTTACCTAGTTCACACATTACGGTCCATCGACGTCGACGGCAGCACACCCTGCGCCCCGGCGCGAGGGTGGATAGATGGTGCTGCACGGCTCGGGAGCGGGGATGGAATGTATTGAATTTAATAATTAATATTGATGAAAATTACGTGAATTTGAAACACATTGCTGGACACACTATATCCGCTGATTTCATACTATACAAGTGGAGGAAATATTTCCAGGGTGGAAATTGGCACGAAGGGTGGAAATAAACAGCCAGTGACGCAATACGGGTTGTAAATTGTGTTGAGGCTTGCGCTAAAGTACTAAACCTCAAATTCTGAAGATGAAGGATTTGTGTGGAAGCTAAATTGATGGGTTTCCCACAAAAAAAACAAAACTCTCATCAAATTTTCAGAAAACTGCATAAAGCATCTGTCTTGCTCAACTTACAGACAACTGGGATTTAGAACAAGAAGACTCACTATAATCTGAATTGAAGTCGAAGCACTATTTTCATAACAGTTTAACTTTCTTTGCTAAAATATAAGGATAATCTATCATTAACTTTGCGACATTGCTTAATAAAAGAATGCCAAAAAAGGACTTTTGGTGTGAACAAGAAACCGACCTTTAAAGCAATTTATTTATTATTATCTAGCTCCCACACTTAGTTGTCCAATTTCGCTGCATTACCCTCACGCTCGATCGCAGAAAGGGCTTGAATGCGGAATCCCGTCTCCTGAAATATGTATCACTTCCAAGCGAAGCATAGAGTATTTTGCCAGACGATCTGTTTCACATGTTGATCACGTACCTTGATGTTAATTGTGCAACAGCACGTACAAGAAGCATTTGCAAGACTGAGCCCTCGAGAGTGTAAAATTCCAAATAGTATTTTCCTCTCTATTTTGTCATTAAAAAAAGACGAGCAAAGTATTCACGGTGGCGGAAAAAAAAGATATCACGCGAAGATCTTTTGCTCCTTACATTCACACCACACTTTCCCCTTCCATCGTCTAGGCGCTGCTTCTGTGATGATGATGACGCTGCAATTTGGTGTTTAGAGTACCATAAAATATGGGTGGCTTGCTGGGTGAGAGAGGGAAATGCGAGAAAAATAATTGTATGTGTGTATTTGAAGCGTCTCCCCGTCTCGAGACTCCCTTCTTGTTCCTTATGGCAAAAGCCTAAAACACTTTTGAGGTATTTTACATAAATATTTCCATCATGAGCACACGCGGCGGCGTTTGAGACGCGGGAGCTTTTGAAGCTCACTCAAAGCGTTCACATGACACATCGATGGTGTGCGGATTTGTGGGACGGTTAAGTGGGGAGAGAGAGGGAGGGAAACCCATAAAAATATGACAATTTTTACCTTCATTTTCATGAAAGAATGAGAGACGCACAGTGG